AGGTCTGATCTGTACAGATTTGTTTTGGAAAGATTCTGATGAGAGTCTGGAGACCTACTTAGTCTGTACGCTTTTTTTTTTTTAACCAAGAAATCTCATTTCTCTGCCTGTGTATCCCCTATATACATAAGAAGAGTAGTTGGGACCTAGGTATTCAATAAATAATGCCAAGAGATTGAAAGTTTACATGGGAAGAGACAAAAAGGTCTAGGAAGAAATAGATAAATTCTGGAATGTTCCAGGGTACTACAGGTTGGGTGGAAGATGGAAAAGATTTTTCTTTCTCCTCCCTCACCTTACCTATTCTTCAATAGGTAAGTACTTTTCAATAACTCCATAGTACTGGCAAGTCAAATTATAGGTAGCCATAAATTTATTTATGATTTTCCCCAAACTTTATCTGAACTGTATAGATGAGAGATCAGCAAGCTGATCAATACCATAATTATTATCTTGGTAGCTGGAAGCAATAGATCTGTGACTGTAGTTCTCTCTCTTCTGAGTTCTCAAGCCTGGAATCCTTCTAGCCCTGGCTGCTCTGGTGGAGGGGAAGTTTTAGCAGCAAGGGAGGTTTCCTGGAGGGCAGCAGTAACTTGATACGTGATGCTGTCCAGAAGTTGAGTTTAAATTAGACGTTATTTACGTTCCCCGTTTTACAAATGGAGACTATAATCCCTAGAGAGACTTGTCAAAATGTATGCAACCAAGATGTGTAAGCTCAGGTTTCTCTATATTGGGTGAGTACTTTCTACAGTTGATTTTATTTATTTAGTAGTGCTGGGACCAAATGTAGTGCCTCACACATGAGTAGGCAAGTGCTCTACCCCTGAACTACATCCCCAGCCTGTGACCTTTTTTTGTGTTATGCAAACCACTACCAGTTTATTCTCGATACTTCTTGCTTTCAGCACTGTTTAGAATATTGTCTCTCAGCATCTCTTTCTATTTACAGTTTTAAATGTTATCTTTTTTTCTCATTTTCCATGACGAATGTGTAGTGAGTAATTGGTTTATTTTGCAAGTATTCCAGATATAACTAGGCTGGCCCTGTGGTAGTAATACTGGGTGCTGTAGAATCCAAGGGCCCCACCTTTAGGCAGACAGCTCTGGGCCTTCTTCCTGTGTGGGGGGGGGCACATGTGGGCACAAGGGCAGGATGGGGTGTGGAGCAGAGGAGGGGAACAGGTGGGGGTTTAAATAGTGCATTTTCAAAGACTATTTTGAGGAAAATAAAAGAAATGTCTTAAAATTGCATAGTTTCTTTCTTTTTTTTTTTTTTTGGTACCGGGGATTGAACTCGGGTCCTATGCGCTTGTGCAGCAGGCCGCGAAACCACTGAGCTAAATCCCTGGCCCCTATTCCATGGTTTCTAGAAGACTGAAGTTGGGTCCACACTCAGGAGGCTGAAGCAGGAGGATTCCACGAGTTCAAGTCCACCCTGGGCCACATAGTGAGACCCTGTCTCAAAAAAACGAAAAAAAATAGAAATTGGGTCCATTCCACTACAGTAGTAATCATTTTACTGTATATGCATCTTATAACATCATGTTATATACTTTAAATATCCACGATAAAATTTATTTTAAAATAAGGGAAAAATTGTGTCTAGGGTAAATTCCTTTCTAATAATTCAGATTTTTAGTTTTGACAGTTTAGGATCATTTTCCTATCTAAAAGGAAGCGTTCTATAGTGTTGCATAGTGTTGGTACATATGCTTGAAAGAGTTAACTGGCTCTTAGCAGTGAGGGTGAATGGGAAATAGGTTCTTGGAACTTCAATTCTGTATCGTGTTCTTACGTGTTAGCTCTCATTATTAGCCCTCTATGTTCTAGATGCTATGAGGAGAATGTTAGTATACCCATTTTATGGATCAGGAAACTGGTTTGGGAAGTATCTCTCTGCAAGTCATCTGGGTAATCACTAGTGGAGCTGCATTCACACCTAAGTCTTTTTCTGGCTGCAAAGATTGTCCTTTAATAACTACACCATTCCCCATATTTTCTGCTATATAAATAACTTTTTTTCCCTAGTACTAGGGATCAAACCCAGGCCTCACGTATGCTAGGCAAGCACTCTACCACTGAGCCAAAGCCCCCAGCCTATGAATAACACCACCCCTGGCTTTTTTGTTTTGTTTTGTTTTTTGAGACAGGGTCTCACTATGTAGTTTGGGCTGGCCTTAAACTCACTGTGTAGCCCAAGCTGGCCTCAGACTTGTAGCCATCCGCCTGCCTCAGCCTCCCAAGTGCTGGGATTACAGGTGTACACAGTCACACCTGGTTATAACTAACTTTTGTCTCTTGTATTTTTCTCTTCTCCGATTTCAGAATCTTTTATGGATCACACTATTATTGACTGATATATCTGGTGGATAGAAGTGTCATTGTTTGACTGGGAAGAGGTTATAGGAAGATGTCAGTTAGGTTATTGTTGCAGTGGGGGAACAAGGAGGCTCTCCTCTGGCTTTTCATGACAATGTAGTTGCCTTTATTTTTGCACTAAGGCTTTGTCAGTCAGTGCCTCCAGAGCATGGTTCTATCTTGACATTCCTCAGGAGCAAAAGACTTTAAGCATTTAGAGAAATGGCCACGATTGTCACAGTACCTTACACAGTGGAAACTGTGTTCTCAGGGAGCAGATAATGTTAACATTCCACAGCTAACTTTTAGTCAGTATTTTTGGCCTCTGACTTTGTTAGCAAATAAATACATTAGAATAAATACTAAAAGAGGGCTGTGGATATAGCTCAGTGGTGCTGCACCTGCCTGGCAAGCATAAGGTCCTGAGTTTGATTCCCAGTACCAGAAAAAAAATATGTAAAAGAATAAATACTAATAGAAATACTCTAGAATTTAGAACAAAGGCATTCCATTTTAAATCTTACATAACAGGTTTTATTGGAGTTCTGAAGACTTAACAAAAATAGATACACAGCAGCGTAAAACATCTCATTCACATTTGTTCAGACTTTTCAATTTGCATTTGTATGATAACCCAACACCAGAAATAAGTGAATCTTTGTATGTTTATTAGTTATAGGAAGACTAATTGAAAATCCATCTGGGGTTCTGAAGGGATTGAAGATCTTTTTAAAAGATGAATTGGCCTATCAAGATAATTGAAGGAAGAAGGTATTGGGATAAAATTTCAGGCCGAGATCCCCACCTGGTGGTTATAAGGAGGAGTTAAGCCTTCTGTATTTGTAGTATTGCTTCAGTTAATGAATGCATTGTCAAAAAACTACATTCTTATAATAATCACGGACTCAAATTTTTAAGAATAAATTTTGCCATAGCAAAAAAATTTTTTTGCCACAGTAATCTAATATTCCTACATTAAAATGACTGTCAAATCCCGCGGGCTAACTGAATAATTGTCTGTTTGCAGAACTGAGTCCTTATTCCAGGTCTTGCTTGTCTGTATAAAGCATCAGTTTGTGTCTTTTCCTCTCTTTATTGCAACCTCTGATTTTTATATCATGCTTATTTTATGTGATAAATTTCTGTGGAATAAGGGCGAAGGAATTATTTCAGATTTTTTAGAAAGTCTGGCAAGTGTCATTAAGTCATTTTTTTTCCATGTAAAATCTATGAAAAGGAGTTTGAGAATTTTCCGGAGTAATTTTTAGGGTGAACAAAGTTGTCAGGGTGTGGGAGATTCTGTAACAGTTTATTAAAATTCATATATGAGATTTCTATTTTCTTCCAATAAGCATCTAAATAATTGCATTATTTGGCAATTTTGAATCTAGATCATTCTACAGTTGGGTAAAGCAGGGATATCAGCCCAAGGGGAAAGGATCCTGTTAAGTTAATGTGGATGCATATTTTATAGGTCTGGAGGGGAGGAGAGGACAAACACAGTTTTTAATTTCAGGGTGAGCTTTAGGCCAGCGTGCTGTGTCTCTATCTTTTTTCCTATTAGGAAAACAGGATCCAGGCCCACCATGTTCCAGAGGCTCTTGGAGGGAGACTGTTTATGTAAGGGTGCTAGGCTAAATGGAATGTGACTTGGCTTTGCACCGTTATCTTGGATTTTCCTTTCTCTGTGTAACAGAGTATAATAGCTACATTTCAACATTCATTGGGTGAGCCATGTTGCGAGGCTGAGGCAGGAAGACCACCATGAGTTTGAGGCCAGCCTGGGGTACATAGTGAGACTCTGTCTCAAAACAAGCAAGCAAACAAACAAAAAACTCACCTTTCACTGTAAAAAACTACTCCTGAGCCAATGTCAACATATAATATAATTCTGTTTATACTATTGTCTCTAGGCAAATCCATTGAGACAAAAGTAGATCCATGGTTCCCAGGGGCCAGGAGGTAAAGACTAGAAATAATGGGAGTACCTGCTAATGGGTTTGGGATTTCTTTGGGGTGATTGAAAATGTTCTCGAATTAGGCCAGACATGATACCATGTGCCCATAGTCCCAGCTACTTAGGAAGCTGAGTTAGGAGAATCCTTGAACTTAGGAACTCATGGGTTTGAGACCAGCCTAGGCAACATAACAATACTTCACCTCAAAAGAAAAAAAAAAAGCCAAATGTGGTGGCACATGCCTGTAATCCCAGCACTCTGGGAGGCTGAGGCAGGAGAATCTCAAGTTTGAGCCCAACCTGGACAATTTAGGGAGACCTTGTCTCAAAATAAAAGGGCTAGGGATGTAGCTCAGCGTGAAGTCTTGGATTCAGTTTCCAGAACCGTAAAAACAAAGCAACCAAGGAAAGGAGGGAGGGAAAGAGGAAATGTTCCTGAACTAGATAGTGGTGGTCATTGCACAGCTATCTGAATATACTAAAAACTACTGTACTATACCCTTAATTTAAACTAAAAAAAACTTGATTTGTGGAAGAATGAACAAAGTTAATAAAAAGGTCATTGTAGTAAAAACTCTTTCACTTTTGTTCTAGCAGAATGTTGCTTGCTAATCTAAATATTATAGTTTGGTTCTTGAATGTTGTAATTTATACTTGATTGTCCTGTTCCTGACCGTCACAGGGCCACGATGGGCCTCCTGGAATATTGGTGTGTTTATCTGCATTCGATGTGCTGGAATCCACAGGAATCTGGGGGTGCACATATCCAGGGTAAAATCAGTTAACCTCGACCAATGGACTCAAGAACAGATTCAGGTACTTACATAGCTGAGGGAGGGTCAGCTGTTTCCATATATCCTGTACCTAAAAGTAGTTCCAGATGAATTTCAGTCAAACTGGGCACAAAGGAAAATTTAGTTGTCAAACACTTATGTCAAATTCTTGTACCTTAATAGAGAAATTTTTAATCTTTTTATTTAAGGCACAGGTTATTTTTCCTGTATTTTACTTCTTTTAAAACACAGAGCTGGGTGTGGTGGCACATGCCTGCAATTCTGGCACTCCAGGAACCTGAGGCAGAAGTACTGAAAGTTTAAGCCCAGCCTGGGAAGCTCAGCAATTTAGTGGGACTCTGTTTCAAAATGAAATAAAAAACAGCTGGGGATGTAGCTTTGTGTAGAGACCCTAGGTTCAGTCGTAAGTACTGCAAAAAAAACCAACCAACCAACTGAACAAACAAACAAACAAAAAACTCCACAAATAATCTATGTTCCAGAATCCCATGGGTCCATGAAGGGGTTAAGAGGTATCTGGATTATTTTCTAAGACCCTTGGCATTTGTAGATCTAGCATTTATAGTTTTAGATACATTCACTTAAAAAAAATTTTAAAATTGCCCAGCTGTGAATTTAGCTAATTGGTAGAGTACTTGTTTGCCTAGCATGAGGTCCTGGGTTCAAACTCCAGCACTGCAAACAAATGAGAGACTTATAGTACTATTTTTTATTTTTTAATTTTTAATTTAATTTTATTTTTTGGTACTGGGGATCGAACTCGGGACCTTGCACTTGCGAGGCAGGCGGTGGAACCACTGAGCTAAATCCCCGACTTATTTTTTCTTTTTTTGAGACAGGGTCTTGCTGTGTAGTTCAGGCTGGCCTTGAGCTCAATATGTAGCCCAGGATGGCCTGAAGCACATATGAATCTTGCTTGCTGCTAGCTTGGTGAGCTAGGCAATACACTTATGTTAATTCCAGCTGACATAAGGCTTGTACTATGATACATAACTTTGTTGTCTTTTATTCCCTTCCTACACTGAAGAACTGTAATTTTTTTTCTCTAAAAAGAAAACTAGTTGCTAAAGTTGCTGATAGAAGTAAGAGGCTATTTCAAATCAGAAAATGGCTTTAGAAATGTTCAGACTGTATTAATAATTAAAAGGTCTAAAATGGTGAGTTGCATTTTTCAGTTATGCATTACTTACTGTATGTTATGAAGGAAATTACAAACCATGGAGTTATCTGGAAATTTGAAGATTAAAAAGCTCTTCGGGGGGCTGGGGATTTAGCTCAGTAGTTTCACCACCTGCTGCGCAAGCGCAAGGACCTGAGTTTGATCCCCGGTACCAAAAGAAAAAAAAGCTCTTGGGATTTGTCCTTCACAGATGTGAAGGGATCTATTTCAAAAGTCTAATGAGAAATACACTTATTAGTAACAGAGCTAATTAATACAGTTTTATAAAGTTAGAATTATGGCACCCATTATTGCCTGCCAAGTAGACATTTTGATTGGTACCTATGTATCTTGGACTTTCAAATGAAATCTTGAATTACCACTGAGTTAAATGTATCTTGGCAGGCAAATCTTTTTTTTTTTTTTCAGGCAAATCTTTCTACAAAAGGAACTCTTAGAGTGAGGAGAGACAGATGTGGGGACAAGTGATTGGGAATTCCTAGTAAGGTAGTGAGAGTCATGGATTGGAAACCAGAATACAGGTTTAAATATTGGTTCTGCAGCTGTATTATGGGAGAACTGGATGAGACATTTCTCTTTCCTAATCTGACATTCCATGTTTCTACATTCTCTTTGATCACAGTGCATGCAAGAGATGGGAAATGGAAAGGCAAACCGACTCTATGAAGCCTATCTTCCTGAGACTTTTCGGCGACCTCAAATAGACCCGTATCTTTTCTGGAGCAACTTAGAAGGCTAAGTGGTATTTTGATGTTTGGGGAGAATTAGACAAGACTGAAGGCTTATGATCTAACTAGGCCATCTCTGTATGGATTAATCCATGGCCTGGGTTTCCCTTTCTCCTGCAACCAAGACATCAGAAAAAGTACACTTGCTGATGTTGGAATTGTTATATAGGGCCACATAGGGAAGGCTTAGGAATTATGACTACAGAGATTTCACTGTGACTTCTTCCGTAAAGTGACATCTCCATTCATTTTTAGAACTCAAAAACTAGTGTTGATAAAAAGAATAGTATACTATGCTGTGTTGAACCCAGGCAGTTAGCAAACTACCATTCATTTTTATCACCTTTTTATGTCTTGTGTGAAAGAATTAACTGTTGACCAGTTTATCAGTAATGTTCTTCCTCCATCCCCTCAACTGGGGATCCCCCTAACACAGTGGTGAGCCTTCTAGAGCTTTCAACGATATAAACAGCCCACTGTGGCATGAGTGCCATAGCTCCGCCACCCCTGCCCTAACACCTAGACAGAAAACCAAATCCCATAAAAATGTTGCTTCTCAAAATGTAGTTTGTAGACCACCTTTTTTCTTTTTGGTACATGAAAGTTGAACCTGCTAAATTCAGCTTTGGGGCCTTGTAGAAGACCCACTTGATCAGAATCTGGCAGTGAGGCACAAGAGTTTGTATTTTTGAGGAGAACTTAGGTGCCTTTGTTTGAGTCCTGTTGATCTAAGGGCTTTAAAATAGATAACTGACTGCTTTACCTGTATTCTAGAACAGATACCGATACCTCTGATGTCAGTGTGCAAGTTGATCCTACTTGTTACTGTCAGAACTCTAAAGGGAAACTATAGGAAAGAAAGATTCTCTGCAGTAACCTTGAAAGAAACATTTTAAGATTTTGGGCAAGGAAACTGCATAGGAAGAGACAGGAGTCATGTGGGGAAACCAGGCAGGGAGGAAGGAAGAGAGAAGTACTTTATGAGATACAAATTGACCTTTTATATTCTTACTTTTGGAAAACTTGATTAATCCTTAATGAGCTTTTTGCAGAGCTGTTGAGGGATTTATTCGAGATAAATATGAGAAGAAGAAATACATGGACCGAAGTCTGGACATCAATGCCTTTAGGGTTGGTTGTAAATCTTTCAAGTTTTATTCGTAATAAGTAATATGCTTATTAATCAGGCCAGGGAGGAATTTGAAGAACTGCTACAAAAATACTCCAGAATGATCACTTTTGAGTAAATAATACAAATGTAGAAAAAGTTACAAGACCATGCAATATCCTTGAATAAACTTTTGCTTCGAGGATAGGCAGGGCAAACTACCATTGAGTTCTTTGCCTTGATCTGTGTGTAGATGTGAGTGATTCCCAGTTCCAAATTTTTTCTTGAAATGAACATGTTGGGCATAATAGGTCAAACAAAATGGTAAATGTTTATATATGTGTGTATACATATATATTGATAGTACATATATATTGATATATATGTACATGTACCTTTTTCTGTAAATAATGTAAACAGAAACAGGCATAATTAAATCAGCAGGGTTTCCTTCAGTTTGACCAATGTATACTTGTACATTTACCTGCTAATGACTAGTGTGTCAGTGGACCAATTGCCAAGGGGACCTATTCATGTTCCTGAGAAGGCTTTCAGAGGGAAACTGACGGCCAGTTGCAGAGAATACATTCCATCCCAAGCATGGTTAAGATCTGAAATATAGGGCAGAAGCTATGTGAAATGGGCATTAACCAATAGGTGAATTTCAACACAGGCAAGTAAGTACCAGGTATTACATGTACTTAGGGAAAAATAATTCCTCCCCAACTGAATATGAAGGGCTAGTACTCACAGTCATCCAGAAAATAAACTGCTTTCTTGGAGCAGTTATGATAACTGCTCCAAGAAAGAAATAACCTAGTGTACAGCTACAGTTTGAATGGCATTATCAAAAAGGGTTTAGAGCCAGAATGCACACATTTCCTTTTATTTGTAGGAAACCATGGTCTATCTGTCAAGCTCTGTTCATTGTGCCTGAAATATAAATTCAGATGAGTCAGAAAAGAATATCTGAGGTAATCCAGAAGATGAGGAGGAGGGGAGACTTGCTGCATGAAGGCAGTCGTTAGGGTGTTCATAGTTACATTGCTAGGGTACCATACCCACGAAAACAAGCCTTTTCTCTTGGTAAGGAAATACCTCCTTCCTGTTTAATGGAAACTATATCAACATTTTTTAATTTGATGTACTTAGATTTTCTTATACTCATATGAAGATTTCTATGCCAAGAATTAATATTTGCCAAATGAAAATTTCAAAGAAAAAACTGGCTTTGTTAAAGAATATGCTTTTTTGTTTGCTTGTTTGTTTGTTTTCATGGTGCTGCTAGAGATCAAACCCACAGCCTTAAGCTTCCTGGGCACAACCCCTGAGCTACATCCCCAGCCCAAATATCCTTTTTTAATAGATATACGATTTTCAAGTTCAATTTAAAGTCTTCTGTATTAAAGTGCCACACTCTGTATGAAAAAGACAAAGCTATATGTGCTGTGATTATAAAACTATTTTTACAGAAAATATGAAAATTAAAATATCCAGACTCTCACTGTCTTTAATAATGATGCATTCCCTTTTTTATATATAGTTACTTTTTGGAGACATAATGAAAATCTAGTTATGTAGAATGTCTCCTGCTTCCATTCCACTTAGCACGTTATACACTATTGTTATATCACGACCTATTGAGTAGGTACATCATAGTTTAATATTCCCTTTCTATGGGATAAAGATTATTTAGCTTAAATAATTCTGAGATTAATATCTTGATATGTATAATTTTCATATTTTAGATTATTTTCTTAAGATTCATTAAAATGCTATTATCTTAAGTCAAAGGATGTTAATATTTCTCTTCATACTTTTGCCAGTATACAGTCTTTCAGCATTGTATAAGAATACTAGCTTTACTTCATACCTACTAACATTAAGTATTATCACTGTTATTATCTTTCTCCTACCTAAAATGCATTTAAAATTGCATTTTCAGTCACCATGACTGAACATCTTTCCATATGCATGCTATGCTTTCTTTCCTGTGCCTTTTTTGTTTGGTTTGGTTTGGTTTGATTTGATTTGATTTTGTGGTACTGGGTTAAACCCTAGGCCTTTTTAAAAATTCATTTTTATTTTGAGACAGGGTCTCATTAAGTCAGTGAGTTGCTCAGGCTGGGCTTGAACTTGCAATCCTCTTGCCCCAGGTTACCAAGTACTGAGATTACAGGCATGAGCCAGCTGTGTGCCTACTATTTTTGGAGATGGGTGTCTCACTGTTTAGTCCAGGCCGTGAACTTGTGGTGATCCCTCAGCCTCCTGGGCCTAAGTAATTTTTGTGGTACCTGGGATCGAACTCAGGACCTTGAGCTTGCAAGGCAGGCACAGTGCCACTGAGATAAATCTCCAGCCAAAATTCTTAAGGTTACTTTTTTTCCCTTCTGGTACTGAGGGTGGAACACAGGACCTTATACTTCATAGGCAAGTGCTCTACTATTGAGCTACATCCCCAGTCCTCAAGGTTACTTTTTGGTTCTGTTTTCCATTTAGTAGATGTTTATTGGACATTAAAATGTGACCAATAACCTTATAATCTGTGGAAGCATTATGAAATTGCCTCTGAAAGTAATAAAAACTGAGAGAGACTTTCTAATGTTTTATTCTTGAAATGCTTTTTTGTTTTATACAGGTAACTCATTCAGGACACCTTTAAAAAGATATTATAATCCCTGTTTAGAATTCCCTAATTCTTTCTTGCATTATTTCCTTAATTTTTGTTTTTCTCATCTTGAATCTTAAAAGGATTTTTTTCTGATTTTTTTTAAAAAAGAGATGAATATTGAGGGTCTATGATTAAATTTATAAAATCACAAGGACATAAACTAAGATGAACATGAATTTATTTACCAGATTACCAAGATGAGACAAGTACCCCTCAAAGGATGAACAAGTTAAATTTGGGGGAAAAATGGGGAGCATACTTTTTAGCCTCTGTAGATAGCTTATACTGCAAATTTCGGGAGTCATAAGTTGGTTAGACAGACCTGGAGGATGGCTGCCTAAGATGTTTGGAATATGCCTCGCCTAGAATCAAGGCTCATATGGAAGAAATCAAGGTTGTCACAGTCTTGTACCAGAGTCATTAGGAACTTTTGGGATACTTGTACCTTTTAGACATTTGTAATTATCATTTCTTCAACTATTACTCACGAGATTCCTTGTTGTATTAAATCATTTCAGAAAGAAAAAGATGACAAGTGGAAAAGAGGGAGTGAGCCAGCTCCAGAGAAAAAAATGGAACCTGTTGTTTTTGAGAAAGTGAAAATGGTAAGTGGAAAAGTAATTACATGATGTGGATGATCTTAGATGTGTTCATATGCGTGGAAGGGGAGAGGAGGAGAGCACCTGGTGGGTGGGTGGATTTGATACCATATTGCGCCGAGGTTCTACATTTAGATTAGATCACCTGTGGCCATTTGTGCTCCTTTCCCATCACCTGTAGCTGCCTAATGAGCTCTATAACACTTTTCTTTGGGACTAAATGGGAACTTGGGAACTACATCTGTCCCATCTAAGCAAGAGGCACCCTCCATGCCAGAATGTGATGGCTGTGTGACACCTCCCGAGCAGAGGCTACCCCCACATTAGGCTGTCTCTTATTAGGCCTCCTGTGCCTTGTTTTCTTTTTCCAGTTAAGAGGGGTCCCCATGTCAGGCCACACTAACTTCTTTTTCCATAGGATATACTGTGGCTGTAGTGGTAGATACTCTAAGAGCTTGGGCTCTTAGGGGAGCGGACTTTTTACTGTTGCTTAAGAAGGAGTCTTTTATCATCACTGTGAATTGCATTGCCTGTGGACTCAGTTACTAGTGATAGGGGCAGAGTGAATTAGGTAATTTTTAAACTGATTTCCTTTTTTCTCATCTTTCTTCTTCTCTTTCCTCCCCTCCCCTCCTCCCCCTCCCCTCTCCTGGGGATTGAACCCAGGGCCTTCACACTGAGCTGTATCCCCAGCCCCTTTTTTATTTTGAGATAGGGTCTTGCTAAATCACTGAGTTGCCCAGGTGGGGCTTGAACTTGCAATCCTCCAGCCTCAGCCTCCCAGAATGCTGGGATTATAGGCTTGCACTGTCACACCCAGCTTCTCTTTGGTGTTAAAGGTTTTCTAACCCCTGGAAGACTTATTGGCTCCTGACTCTTGTACCATCAATCTTGTACCTTTATCCTTGATTTTTTTCGGTGTGAGGGGGGACAAAAAATTGCTCTTTCTGTCGAATCTCCTGCTCACTTGTTGGTTTCAGAAATCTCTGCCACTCTAGAAAGGTAAACAGGAACAGGTTTCTGTTTCACTGCAGGTTCAGTTTATGCTGTCATGCCTCCTGGCACTTCTTGAGTTTTGTTTCTTTGGAAACACTCTTTGAGTAACAAAAACCTTACCACAAGAATACCTGTGCTAGGGCCGGGGATTTGGCTCAGTGGTTCTGCCACTTGCCTTGCAAGCCCAAGGTTCCAAGTTCCATCCCCGGTACCAAAGAAAAAAAGAATACCTGTGGTTTTTACAGTGGAGAGAGGAAAAAGAGTTCAAAAGCATCTGCTTATTTCTTTTTATATATTTTCACTAGCCACAGAAAAAAGAAGATTCACAGCTACCTCGGAAAAGTTCCCCGAAATCTACAGCACCGGTTATGGATTTGTTGGGCCTTGGTAAGAGTTATACTTTTCAACTCCCATATTCTTATGAATTTTGATGAATTCTCGGTGACCCTGGGAACACTGGTGGAAAGAGAACTCCTTTGTGTCTTCTTCACTAAGACTGTTCTCTCGTGCTCTTCCTGTTATGTTTTCATCTGAGCAGTTGCTCAGAGGAAGCGTTTACTGTGACATTTTTCAGAGCACCAGTACAGGGTAGTAGGTAGGAGCTGGAATCCCAACTGTGCTACTTACTGTTTGTGTGGCCTTGAATTGTATACCTGACCTCTGATATTACTTTACTAATCTAGGCAGTGATGAGAATCTCTGCTTCAAAGACGTTAGAAGGATTAAGTGGAGTAATGCCTCTAAAGCTCTTAGCCCCATATCTGGCACATATTAAGCACTCAGTAAATGTTTGCAGTTCCACTGAAGAGCACTTTTAAATCTTTTGCCATTTTCCTGAATTCTGCTTCTTACCCTCACCTCTTCATTTTTCAGGTACAACCCATTTTTTTGTGTGTGGGTGGCTTGAACCCAGGGCCTTTATCCTGAGCTACATTACCAGCTGTTTTTTCATTTTGAAAGAGGGTCTTGCTAAGTCAATAAGTCACCCAGGTTGGGCTGTAACTTGCAAGTCTCCTGCCTCAGCCTCCCAGAGTGCTGGAAATACAGGTGTGCATGACTATACCTACCTACGTACAACCAATTTTTGAGATGATCTGTTGTATTCTGGTCATTTTTCCTTTGAAATCCTGGAACTAGTGATTTTGCCCCTTTCACAAAGAAGGGGCCTGTTCTCTACCTTTTACTGCACTGATGGTTGTACTTTGTTTCAATCCACTGTTGCTGATTTAGGTTATTGGCTGCCTGGGCTTCTAGTTTCTGTACTTTTCGACACTCTTTGCCCTTCACATAGCCAGAAGGAAGCCAGCCAGCCCTTCAGCTGTGTTGTTGAGGTAGCTTTCAGACCTGGGTTTCTCCTGCTTTGTGCCTGTCAGCTGGGCTGTAGGCTACCCCAGAGTCCCACTGGGAATGTGGGATGGGGCCTCTTATGAGGCACTCTATCCAGCTAAGTAGTTGCTGATGACTGGATTTCCATGTCCATATAGGACATATAGGCCCTCTCTATCCTCTCTTTGTCTCTAATAGAAGGAAGATATGATCTTAATAACCAGTGCTACGTGCTTCCTTCCATCTCTCTTTCTAGATGCTCCAGTGGCCTGCTCTATCCCAAATTGTAAGACCAGCAATACCCTAGAGAAGGATTTAGATCTTTTGGCCTCTGTTCCATCCCCATCTTCTTCAGTTTCCAGGAAGGTGAGTCTTTGGGGCCTCTCAGGATTAAAGAGCATTCTGGAAAGGGTGATAACTTAATCATGAAGTCAAGTTATGCTTCCTTGGTGATTTTCTTTTTTTTGTTTTTTATTCTTAAGTTCTTTTATTGGTACATTTTAGGTATACAATACGTTTACATTTATCATTGGGTGCTTGTACCTGTACATGATATATCTTGATTCTTATTTTTTCCCCATTACCTGTGTGCCCTTCCCTATTTACA